CAGATGGGTGGAGTCTTATGACTATCGCGCGTTCTGGTGCGTCCCACCCAAACGATAATGGCCGAATTGTCTTTAGGTCCATATTACTGGGAAGCGGTTGTTGATCGGAATACGAAAACATCTTTCTCCAATTTGTTTTCGCACTGTTTTTTAAGAGCTTCATTCTATCTAATGACGACTACGGTAACGGTATTATGGGGGGAGTCTCCAATGAAAACGTATGCTCTGGAGGTTAAAGTTTCTGAAACAGATCCCTGAACTTTTTACAACTTCTCTGCCATGACTGATCATAGCCCCCAGCCCCCCCCCCCACTTGTAACATGTACTTTCCCCATTTTAAAAGTTCTGCGTTAGAAGACACTGGTCTGAGCTGCTGTCGGTGATCTTGTGATTGCGCAAGAACCAAAGCTATCTGTGACTGGTGCACAATTTTAATGGCCAATCACAGACGATCTCATCCGCAGGAACAGAGCCAGCGCTACACCTGACGCAGCCATTCGAAATATCGTAGTATTATGGACCAAATGCTAGCCATAAGGATTACCTATCTTATGAGTTTTTAGCAGATGAAACATGTACTATTATATATTTATGCAGATTTTAGGTTAGGGTTGTTACATCCACGTTGCAGTGATGCGCAGAAACTAGCTACTATCGCCTCGAAGGCAGTGGGCACAATGGGTGGGGGCCAGCGCTGCCAACGTCACCGGTTTAAGGACGGTGAGGTGCGTGGCTACAACCTCTCTCGCGGTCCTTCCACAAATGACGCTGGCAGCAACCGCCCGCCCCCAGCCATCCTGCCCGCTTCCTTTAAACCAATTAGTAGGTTTCGGAGCAAACGCCGCAGTCGTAAGTAACATGCACTAGATCGCGTCGCCGAAATGTTGATGTAACCTCCTGCATCCACAGATTTTTAAACAAGGCTTATTTCTGACTCCTTACATTCACTGTATACATATCGATCGGATTTTATTCAATCACGTCGAAATTCAACTGTTTTTTGTTGAATATGATATGGGAATGATCTCCTGTGTGCAATTGTTATGTGATAGTTGAGTAATTGATAGCGAAGAGAGGAATCATCTGTGGGTAGATGTATATGGATCTCGCTTCAATTCGTGACTTAATCGATCTGAAAAGATAAATTTTTCAATACGCCCTTGTTCGCTCCCGCACTACGGTGAAGGAAGTCAGCACCACGATTTTTTCGGGCGCGTAAAGGCAGGGAGGGGAGTTAAGGGTACGGTAGGGTGTGCGGGTTAGCCGACCCAGCAATCGTTTCCCACCAAAACTGCTGAAACAGAATAGGCCAACAATTCATTTGGTGGAAACACGATTGATCTAACGAACGATAATGGCACAGTCCTATAGTAGACGAAAAAATGCAATAGACAAAAGGGCGGGTTGGTCCTGACAAAAGCTATCTTGTGACAGGCTCCTGTATCCGCAGATAGTAGCGAGACAAGACTGTAGAGGAACTTGTTCGATCCTGTTCGTCTTAAAATGCTCACCACTAGCAGCTACGTATTGCATTTGGTTTAAGCGGGCAGCTTGAATTAAAAATGTGGACATTCTTTGAATTAAGAAGTCGGTCGACGGCCATATTTCAATCAATTGGGTAAACCTTAAGCGTCCAGAGTAAGGTAAGGCTCGAATTTCTGGTTATTTCTACGTATTTTCAGAAAATCAGAAAATCACTAGGAAAGTGGTCGTCCCGAGTGCGAAAAGAGCCTAGCTTTCGCTCAACTTAGACGCCATCCCACAATGCACCTGCAGGTTGGCCTTGGTGACTTGAACGACACCATGGTACACTACATAGTTTTGGGTGTAGGGTGACCTAACAGCCTTCCCACGCCTCCACCCTGCCCTCTCCCAATGCGTAAGCGATAGCGGTTTCCCCCGTCTGACATTCGCCAGGAGCTGGGATACAGGGACCGCTGAAAATTCGAAATTAATTCCGGCTCGCCAAAGGCCATAGAAATAACTTTAAACTCCGCGGGTGGAACGCCTTAGGCATATTAATTATTGTGATGTTCTTTGTAAGAATGTGCGGCCTCCGAGGCGATTGTTCAAGAAGCGGCTTAACCAACAGCTGGATCCGTGAGCTCCTGGCACTTGTCTTCATCTTTGGTTCTTTTTACGCACGGATCAGCCTTAAAAATTGTTATCGACCATCAGGCAACCCGCGTTCTAAACATTGTATTCTGAAATCGCATTTTACTTGACTATTCCAAAGCGCAATTACAGGACTTGGCAAAGTGCCAAGAGTGCCGCACGCGACACGCGCGCACACGACGGCTGTTAGCATGAACGGGAGTCTGCGCCGCAAAAGGCATTGGGCGGAGCATGGAGGAATTAGCGTGTTTCACGGTCCTGTATCTCCATTCCTGCGCATGTTAGGACGGGGAAACCGCTACGCTTCGACAGCTGGGGGCTGATAGTCACGCACACCCAAACTATGTGTGATCGTACCATGTGTCTTTAAATGTCAATTCTCTGATTATGAGGCATAATAGATTTCGCACGAGTTTCCTGGTTCAAACACTTCACTACTTATTATGCCTGCGTTTGCGTTTGGGAAAAGAAAAACGACCGAAGAGCATCCGTCATCGGAAGTCGGAGCATTCGGCACAACGTACCTAATCGTCATCTCACCGGACGGGCGTGTTTGCTAGCTGGGAAAGGAGGTCGTATTCGGCCCTCACATTCCCACCCCACTCCTAATTGACCAAACTGTCTAATCAGGGCACGTACCGCCGTAGGGGGAACATTTTGCGAAGTACAACTCCCCTGAAAAATTTCCTCACCTTAAGAGGGGTAACCGGTAATGTGAGCACTTATACATCAAGGAGTGTCTTTCTATTAGTACCACTCGCTTGACTCCTGCTTCTTCTTCTTCTGCAATATGGACAAGGATTTTATCCGCTACCATCGGCACCGACCCCTCCAGACGCTTCCTCAAACTCTTTTTCCACCACCCTGACGCCAGCATGATAGCTGCAGATGCCAAAATAATGGAGCTGAATAAGGACGATGCCCTCAATTATCGGACAACCTTCCACGACGCTAATGCTTCAAAGCGGGAGCCTACAGTTTTGATGACGAAGTGAGGTTTGGGTTACCTGTGAACTCAGATTGAGGGAGCTGCGGGTCGTGAAAGTGCTGGATGAAGAAGCTGCTTCCTCGGTCAATGCGTACGCAAAGCAGCTACGAGATCTAAGCGTACCGTCGATCAGAGGGAAAAATTTGTCCGCACAGCCCGCCCTCATCACTCCGGTGCAGGGCATCATGCAATGATGAGGCTGGATGGCTCCGACTGGTGTAGGAAACAGGAATTGCTCCTTCTAACTGCTAATGCTTGCCCGTAGCTAAATCCATTATGGAATGGAAAAAAACCTCCATAACCCGAGTTCAAGTTAAGATTGTGAAGGTTCGCGCCTCCATGCATTGTGAAGCGATGGCATCCATGAGGTGCTCAAAAACTGGCAAGAACCCCGCGGTGACATTGCTGTACAATTTTGATCCTACACTCCTCTCTATAGAAACAAAGCCCCAGTTTGAAAAATGTGACAGAACTTCCCCGCCAACCTGACAATTATCAGCTTTACCATCTTATTGTCTCTTCCCACCTTCTCCTTTATTCACACATCCTGTCTACCATCTTCCTTCATTCTCCCTACGTCTACCAGTCTCTGCACTTTTCACCCGGAAAAAATCACCCTTGAGGAGGGGAATATAGCGCCAGTGAAACGGTAAAACTAAAGTCAGCAACCTGAAACCTTTTTCTCAAGCGCGAATACCATTTACCCCCCCTATCGCTGGGCATCCCAGCGAGAGGGGGGGGGGTTATATAGTATTCGCGATGTGCCCTCTTTCTGATAGGCGATCGAACTGCAACTCCTCCGCACTATCCCCCTGTCGGCTCCCGCGTAACGGCAGAATTTTAGGTGAGTTGTTGAGAGCATAAGTATCGGGATCGGGTCCAAGCGGAGGAGGATTTGCGAAAGGAGGGAAAGGGGGGTGCGCCATTTTGATGGTGCTATACCCCGATTCGGCAGCAGTGTTCTCTTCGACTCCCCGCCTCACCTGAGAGAATGACCCTAGCTGATAATCTGCTTTTCCTTTCCTCAGTCTCTTACGGCAGTGAGAAAGAATTACGTGACAATTTGAACTTCGAGGAAGGTCCTGCTGCGGAACCCCTGTGACGCAGACAGATAGGGGACAACCGACGCCAAAGCATCGGAAGGTGCGAAGGGGCGTGTTGTTAGCCAAGAAATAGGGTTTTTCATGAGAGTGGGACTCCCCCGCGGGCATAGGCCACTTATAATGCGTGGAAATCTGGAATGTAGGAAGTCATGGTGTTCCAGGGTAATGGGATTAAGCTCAAACCGTCCGTAGACCAAGAGCTGGCAAGAAGTGAGCGCTCCGATGATATCATTTCCTGGCTCAGCCCATCCAGAACCCGAATGGTTTCGTAGCATTGGGATGCAGTGCTTCTGAGAAGTAACGGTTACAAATATTTTGTATTTTTTTATTCTCACAAATAAAAAAGGTATGCATTAACAAGAACGACATTACAATCTAGTAAACTATGCGTGTCGCATCTACGTAGCCGGACCCAGCGAACTACACAGATTGCGGACAAAACAAAACTCTGTGAATCTGAATCTGAATACCGTAACACAACTCGTTTCTAATACCAATCTATTTACTACAATCTAGAGTAAATCACGTTAGAAGGTAATGTTACCATAGATATTCACAAAACAAATGCAACAGCACCTCGCCTTTCCAGAATGTTGATTGGATAGAGATATATGACCTGTAGCATGAACTAGAGCATCATAAGTTAGAAGACGCGCCGTCTAGTATAAGCGGCGGCGATGACACGTTATGACAATAAATAGCTGTTAGTAAAACTATTAAATCAACTATCCGTACGAGAATAGTTGAAGAGTAGATCAACATGATGGGATGTATGCAAAATTATTGAAATCCATCTATCGATGACCTTTGTGAGTCATCCGAGCTGTAACAATGCCTCCTGGTCCAGCTAAGGTCGTCTTGCCCATGAGATATTCATCGACCTGAAATCAAGAAATTACAGACCTAAAGAAACATTTCGTAGTAATTGGATGGGCTGAGGAATGGGCGGAGACTCTCCAGCTTTCCACCTTCACACCTTTGCGCCTCTCCTTTCGTAGAAAGATACTGTAGGAGGGGTGCGCCAAATAGACAGGCAAAATGGTTGTGATCTCTGCTCAATCGCTAATCGCGGCATTTGAGTTACACTACTTGGTAACATACAGCTCTTCATTAGATATCAGTATCTTCATTAGATTATTGTTCGTTTACTTCTACACTGACTTGTAGTATGAGTGACCCCTCTTGCTCCCCTAGCCGTGGCGCAATGGAGAACAACTGATTACGATACTTTGCTTGCGGGACCTGTCGCAAGCGGCGTTATATGCGCTGCATTCGCCCGGGGACCTAACTCATTTAACACGGAAGAGCAGAAAAAAATTGAGTCAACCACCTAGTAAAGGCCATCCAAATCCTACGATTTTTGCACAGCATCTTTGAAATTTTTTCAAGGTTTTCTATAAGTAAGCCATCTCCTGATGAGCTTTCCTGCGAGATATTCCCCGTTCCGTCCCCAGTACGTATACTGTACAGAATAGTGACTTTGGTCATTCCTCATTACTGTATCTCAAATGTGATATGGTACTGCAGGAGGGCCAGCACATGAGATATAAATACAGACCATGTCGCGCTACTGCACCACCGAAAAATCCTACGTTAGCGTTAATGTGTTTTCTCCGGGACGCACAGTCAAGGGACAATAGCTGCTGGCCTGTCACCTAGTAATTGTATGATACCAGTAATTTTTTTGTTACCCCTTTATATCAGCGAGTTATTTATGCGACAATATGCACTCCATAACATGGGGATGGGAAGGGCGTGATTGCGTGAAGAAGACAGGCGATTTTGGTGGAATACTGTGGCTTCGTGAGAACTATAATGTGTCTTATCCAGAACTGAACAAGATGAAGGTTGTTCCAAGTAGAAATATCCCAGAAAATCGCATGTAACACCATGTTGCGGTACGTGGCCACGTCCTTCCTCACTCCGGGATATGGAGCGTATGTCCCAGCACCGTCACCGCAAAAGCTTCCAGCAAAGCTATTACATCTAATCAATAACGTGCAAACTGCGTACGTTCGTGAACGAGCCAGAAAGCCGTGAAATCTCCGTTTTATAGAGTTAACGTAATCGTTACCGGCTTCCCGTAAATATGATCTGAGTAAAAATCAACAAACTTGTGGGCAGTCTTACCTGTCGAGCAGCTTGTCTGCCTTCATGAATAGCCCATACCACCAGAGACTGACCACGGCGACAATCACCCGCAGCAAACACCTGATATGTATACCGTGTTAATTAGTTACTCTAAAATTACATAAATTCTCCAAATTATTCAATAGTCCATAAGTTTTTCAACCCCGCTCCAAGATGCACAATTCATATCGAAGAGCAAGAACGGGCTTTCCGGCGACCTCTGCGTGTTCCCTTGCGGACTCTTCTTTCTTAATCATATGATCGTCTACGCCTCTTTCTCGTAAGGCACCTTGTAGCCGTTGCACTCGCAGCCACGTACTTGGTAACCCCCTTTTTGCGCCCAGATGTGGACCACACAGTATTAGATTTTGCCTGAACAAAGGAACACACTGTACGCGTTCCCACAAAAGCAAATAACACAGTATAACCGAAAATCTTTGTGGGTAACACTATCCTCCAATCCCTTTCCCGTGCAGTTTCGAGCGGACAACATGCGGAACACGCTCCTTGGCTGATTGGTGGAGAACAGACGCTGCGCCAAATTCAGCCCTCTCTCGCCCCACCCCCTGACATGCCCCGGCATCCGTGATGAATAACACTACCCTTGAGTGTATTCTACATATAAATTTAGGTGGAGACGATTTACCTTGGCTACATCTGAGTTATACTTGTCCTTGGGTGTCAGAATATTAGACCTTGGATCGGATTTGAGACCCAATTGTTCGATGACAGTCTGAAATCACAACTTCACTTCGGGGGTTTTCAAAAAATTATGGCTCAGCTTCTCACCTTCTCAGGGCCGACGAAGCCCATCGCGAGTATGCACAGATCGCATTCGACCGTCCGCATCGTGTCCGGCTTTTCTATCAGTTTCCAAGCTCCCTAAAATGTATAGGTTTGAAATAAATATAGTTAAAAGACTAAATGACGTTTATAGGACTCTTCCAATTCCTGCTGAAATAGAAGGACTTCATTGAAAAAAAATCAGAACCAAAACTACTACGTTACCTTCTCGTCCTTTTCCCATGCAACCTCAACAATTTCAAGACCGGTGACCACCTTGATGCCAGCAGCGTTTTCAGCGGTCAAGAAAGCCTGAAAACGATTAACTAGCTTACACTAGTAGTGTGAGCAACGGAAGAAGAAACGAACCTTGGTCGAGATCGAATACGTTCGCGGATCTTTTCCAGTCTTCAATCTCATTTCCTCATGTCCATAATCGACTCTGAAGATCACTGGCCATTCTGGCCATGGATTCTCTGGCTTACGACCGTCGGACGGCTTTGGCAGGATCTCGAACGCTTGCACAGACTTGGCACCCTATTTTTACTATCGATTAGAATGGGTCTGACTACAAATTTTGGCGTTCACTTTATTTTGTTGTCAATTCCATATGATGTAAAAAACGGAATAACTGTATCACAGTGATTGTAGTAATAGCAGTAATTGTGTTCAACTGTGAACAAATCCACTTCCAGGTTAACTAATTATAAACTTAGAGAGACAGTACGCTAAGCCGTTGGGATGAGAAATAGGCGGAGACTCTCTCGCTTTTCACTTTTTCAGCTTTTTCAGTAACATCATTCACTATCACTGGTATAATTATAAATATGATTTCAAAAGAATTTGAAAAGAAATGATTTCATGCTTACCAAACGATTACTAGTAGCGATACAGTCAGTAGCGGTGTCACCACCTCCAAGAATTATTACTCGTTTGCCAGCTGCATCCAATCCTTCCCAAGGAACATCATCACCAGCACGGCGGCGTTGGCTCTTTTCCAAGAACTCCATCGCGAAGCAGATCCCTTTTGCATCTCGCCCGCTTACCTAGAAATTACCAGATAACTTCCGCTACGTAAATAACGCGTAATGAGAACCTACCGGCAAATCGCGTGGTGTAGTTGAACCAGTGCAGACAATGATAGCGTCATTGTCCTGAAATGGGATCATTGGTCCTGCAAGGTAACAGGGGTTCGACCGCTGGTAGGGCACAAACCTTCAGGAGGAAATCTGCTGGAACATGCTTTCCGATTTCAGTGTTCGTTAGGAAACGGACTCCTTCTTCCTCAAGTAGCTTAACCCGTCGATCGACAATATATTTATCGAGTTTCATCGACGGAATACCGTACCTAAACAACATCCCTACTCCTACTGAACGCTTCATTCCTACCGATTACCCACCTTAGTAGACCACCAACACGGTTCTTCCGTTCATATACAACCACAGTATGACCGACTTTGACCAGCTGAGCGGCAGCAGCCATTCCTGAAACTTTTGTGAATAGAAGGTGCGAAGAGAACAAGGTCTCGTTCAACTGCTGAAGAATATCGACCTGCAGGTCCAGATCCGATGATAGCAATACGCTTTCCGGTATTCTCAACTGCTGGGCGAACGTGGATCCAGCCTTGCATGAACGCATAGTCGATGATAGCACATTCAATTGACTTGATCGTGACAGCAGGAGATGAAATGGCAAGACAGCAAGCACCCTGAAGTTATATTTGTAGCGTACAGTCTTGTTCGCTTCCGACGATAGGGCGTGTCAGGAGGGCTCAGTTTAGCGCGGCGCCCACCCCTTTCTTTCCCTTGTTTTACTTCGGCCTGCGACAGAACATAGCCATATCGGTGGTATCAGTCGTTTTCCACCAAATGTCGTTTACCTGCTTCGACAATAGAGGACGGGCTGCCGGAATTGGTCTCTCTGACACGCCCCTTCATCAGCAGTGAACAACACTGTATATTTGACTAATAAAAAACCATTTTTTAAAAGTTACGTTTCAACAGGAACCAAAAACGACATTAATTAGGCGATTCAGGGTGAAAAAGGGGTCAACTCATAATCAAAAGCCATGTACTAGTGTGGCAGTAAGTCTAGTCTAGGCCCATACTCCAAGGAAGAACCCAAAACAAGACAGCGATGCTGGCTCTCATGCTCACACTTAAAACCTCTGACCAGCGAAATGTTTTGGGCAAGAGGACAGTCTTTGTCCAGGATACGATGCGCCATTTTATGATGTGGATTAGCTCACGCCATGTAGAGACACTATCTAGGCGAGAGGACGCAGGGGGGCAGGCATAGCTAAGCTTTGTGTCGCCGATTTTTTGTTTTGTAGCGATAACTCTAGTTTTGACGGAGATAGGCGGCTAGGTTGCTGAATTCAAT